GCGGGAATGGGAAATATGGTAGGAAAGGTTGAAAAAGAATTTTGAAAAATGTTTCCCCTTCTCTTCTCTCGACAGAAAAAACATTTTCTCCAATTAACTATTAACCAAATGATAAACTTTATAATAAATTTAGCTAACTCATCTAAGATACTAATCCTCAATCTTTTTGGTTTCAAATTCTCGAGTACGAACCTCAATCAAACTCATGCTTTGCGCAATCAGTCTCGCATGGTATAGAATAATATGTTTTGTCAAAATTATATTGCATTATAACATTGAAATAAGTAAAGAATTTATATAAGGTTACAAAATCTAATTTGAATTCAACTCCCTGCATGGTATTTTAAATAAAGAAATATTCAATTACCTAAATGTACTTGACTTCAAATCCTAAATATTAGGAAAGCAATTAAATTACATTTTTATTCAATAAAATCTGCTTTTAAAAGGTAAAAAAAGAAAAGGAATTTTGGTTTAAGGGGTTTCGTGCTTTTAATATACTAGTCTCTATTAACGTGTGTTGCATGATAATAATGGTATGTAATATTCAGACAGGTATATATAGGCAGGAACAATAATTAAATAATGAAAATTAATATTATTACATTAACATAATAATCAAATTTAAAGTGATGATAATATTATATGTACTTATATTTTAGAAATAATTTGATTGTATCTTATTTTATAGTCGAGGTATTATATTTACTTATAGTTTATAAATATGAATTGTCATTATATCTTACCCAAGATCTCTTTGACTGCGGTTATTATTCTATGTTGAAAGTTCAATTGCTTCTCCACAAAATATATTTAATATGGAGTTTTCTTATCAAACATATCTATCTTAAAAGACTCCCCAAATCACTTGAATGCTATTTTTACGTTGAAACTTTATCCAAATATGATGGCAAATTTCCATTAGGACAATAGTGTTGTGGCGGATCCACAAAAATGTGCATAGTTTCTAATTTACCCGCTTTGTTCACATTTTTTCTATAGTTATTATACCAATCATTAAATACTAATTAATAGTAACTGAATCTTCCTAATTTGTCTAGCTAAAATTGAGGAACAGAATATTCTAAAAATATTTGGCGTAAATCAGATCAAATCATATTCTTCTAGATATTCCTATTTAGGCGCGCTACATTTATGGAAGTAAATATTCTTCCAGATATTTTCCACCATTGATATCCATTAAAAAGCTTGAAAGCTTTGAATTCAAATTTGGATTTTCAAAAATCATTATTTGTTTGGATTGGGTGTTGTTGAAAATAATCGGGAATATGGTTTGGAGTTTATATCTCAATTTTGAGGGGTTTTGGTGAAGATTAGACTTGGTTTTGATTGAATTTCAGATTGAAACTCGAAGAAGAAGAAGAAGAAGAAGAAGAAGAAGAAGAAGAAGAAGAAGAAGAAGAAGAAGAAGAATTACAGAAATTGTAGATTATTTGTATTCTGATTGTAGATGCTTTATTTTCTGTTTTCACAAATAAAAAACGGCTAAAACTCCTACAAATCTTTTGAAAAAAATGCAATTATGTCAAAAATCACAATTATGTTACAATTGGAT